CTATAAATAAAAAAATAGGGAAGCGGTGGTTGAGGGGGTTACGCTGTGCTTGTTTATCAGAAGGTCAGCAGTTCAGTGGTTCGAATCTCTAGCACCGCATAACAGAATGAGCTCCTGTTACTTTTCCCAGGTTCTGCCAACCTAGCAGTTCTAAAACATGTAAAAATGCAAGTAGAAAAATAGGGACCACTTTTGGTGGGAAGGTAACAGTGCTCTGTGCGCCTTTGGCATTTAGTCATGCTGGCCACATGACCATGGAGATATCTTTGGACAGTGCTGGCTCTTTGACTTAGAAACGGAGATGAGCAGCGCCCCTAGAGCCGGAAACAACTAGCACGCATCTGCGGGGGAACCTTTACCTTACACATAATAAATACATAAGATTATCTTTGAATGATAGGCGGACTGTTACAGAAAAACTGGAGGGGATAAATCTTCTAAGAAATACAGTTTGACCTGACCCAAATAATTGAAGCTTGCTTTCGGAGTGCTGCTGTAAATAGCAATCCTTGATATCTTTCCAGATGGAAGGCAGCTTAAGAGGAATCCCTTTTTAGGGAAAGTGAATCGGGATGCTTTCTCAGACAGCTCAGAATAACTTCTCTTTTTTTCTCATTTTTTTTAAAACCAGGCAAGCGGAGATTATAAGCTGGTGTCAGTGGTTTTACTTACAGAATGTTTTCCTAAGTGGTGCAGAAAGTTTAGAAGGAAGGCCCTCAGATTAATAGTAATCTAAGTTGTTAGATATGCAGATCTGGCACCACTTTGATAGATGTATTGTGCATTTTTCTTTCAATTCTTTGGAGCTGTGAACCAAGAATGCTCTTTTCTCTGCATGCTTCCCTGCATGCCAGGTCTGAGATGTAGTTAATGCAGAATATTAGTGTATTATTGTATTGATTTATTTTTTCCGTATAGTTTCCCACTCACCTACTTTCCCACCTCCTATCCCCTATGCATCCCTAGGTGCCGGCAGTTCGTGGAGATGGTGAATGGAACAGACAGTGAAGTGCGCTTTTTCAGTACCCGCAGCCCCAAATCACAAGACAGCTACCCTGATTCCCCCAATCTGAGTCCCCGACATGGCTCCAATAATTTGCACATCCACGTCACTGGTAGGCCTTTGCTTCTCTCCTAGAAAAGTTCTATCCTTGGCTTGGTGCTAACTTGGCACCTACTTTTCAATATCTTTCTAGAAGCTGCTGTTAGAACGTCTTCTGAATTCTGCCTAGTGCCTTCAGTAGTGTAGAACCCGCTGATACCCATTCCATAACGTAGTATGTTTGTGACACAATAAGCTCTTCAGACAAGAGTGAAAGCCAAGTAAGATTTTGGCAGCGACTTTGTCAAGTTTGATTATCTCTCTCCTGATTTTAGATTCCTTCTCTGAAGTAGATTGTTACTTGCCCCAGCTTCTGCCCACTTAGCAGTTTGAAGGCATTCAAATGCAAGTAGATAAACAGCTACCACTTCGGTGGGAAGATAACAGTGTTCCGTGTGCCTTGGCTTATAGTCCTGCTAGCCATTTGACCACGGAAGTGTCTTTGGACGATACTGGCTCTCTCAGCTAGGAAATGGAGATGAACGCCACCCCATAGAGTTGGGCACAATTGAACAGGAGAAATCCTTACCTTTAGCGGGGCGTAAACTTTTATTTAGGGCTTTATTAGAGGGACGCAGTGGCTCAGTGGCCAAGACGCTGGGCTTGTTGATCAGAAAGGTTGGCAGTTCAGTGGTTCGAATCCCTAGTGCCACTTAACTGAGTAAGCTCCCATTACTTGTCCCAGCTTCTGCCAACCTAGCAATTTGAAAGCATGTAAAAAATGCAAGTAGAAAAATAGGAACCAACTTTGGTGGGAAGGTAACAGCGTTCTGTGCGCCTTCGGCATTTAGTCATGCTGGCCACATGACCATGGAGACGTCTTCGGACAGCACTGGCTCTTAGGCTTTGAAACAGAGATGAGCACCGCCCCCTAGAGTCAGGAACGACTAGCACATCTGTGCAAGGGGAATCTTTACCTTTACACTTCTATTTTTTTTAAAGCACTGGGTCCCCAAACTTGTCTTCTCTTTCTGTCTTCAGGAGCAGACAGCCCAAGCTGTAGCAATGGGGTTACCTCCATCAAAAGCAAACAGAGCCACAGTAAATATCCTGCACTGAGTTCGTCCTCCTCCTCCTCTTCCTCCTCATCCCCTTCATCCGTGAACTACTCAGAGTCCAACTCAACAGATTCTACCAAATCCCAGCAACACAGCAGCACTAGCAACCAAGAAACCAGGTGAGACAGGTGCTTTCTAGGGCAGGGCCAGGTAATAATCAACTACAGGTAGTCCTTGGCTTACGACCACAATTGAGTCCCAACATTTCCATTGCTAAGCAAGACAGTTGACAATGACTCGTGTCCCATCTTATGAACTTTCTTGCCACAGTTGTTAAACGAATAATATGGTTCTTAAGTGAATCTGGCTTCCCCATTGGCTTTGCTTGTTCTGGAGGTCGCAGAAGATGCTCATGCCACCCTGGGACACTGCAACCGTCATAAGTGTGAGACAGTGGCCAAGCATCCAAATTTTGATGCCATGATCATGGAGTTGCTGCAACGGTCGTTAAACATGAAAAAAAGGCAGCGTCAAATTTCTTCCATGCTGCATCCAAGGAAATTCTATGGGGCATCCAGAAAATCCCTGAGAGTCGAAATCAGCTTGAAAGAGATGTAATTTGTTTTTCATTGCTGTATTGGGAATGGATAAATTTTCAGCTCCTGGATAGATTTCACAATGCTGTATAATAACACAGGCACCAAAAATGACGGGCCGATGGTTAGTGTCCTTAGATCAGGCAAAATTAACGTGTTTAATTTGAAGGATGCATAAATACCAACTTGAGGGTGGCATCAGATGCTTTGGGGGATGTCCAACCTTGGCAACTTTAAGACTCGTGGACTTCCAGCCAGCCATAATTGCTGGGGGGTTCTGGGAGTTGAAGTCCACAGGTCTTAAAGTTGGACCCCTTGGTATAATATATCAATTGAATCCATCTGTACCTCCCTGGATTTATCTGCTGATGTTGAGGACATGCCTTTTCCTCTTTTGGCATTTCTTTCTCTCCTCTCTCCTCTCTCCTCTCATGATCTCCATCATCTTCATTCAAGTGACAGTGAAATGGAAATGGAGGCGGAGCACTATCCCAACGGAATCCTGGAGAATTCAGCCACCCGAATAATGAATGGCACTTACAAGCACGAAGAAATTCTACAGACTGATGATTCCAGCATGGGTAGGTCTGGTGGGTATGGAGGTAGAAAAAAATGCCCTTTTTGAGAATACGGTCCCTTATCCAGGATGGATGCAGTTCCTTATGGAAAATGATTCTACATCAGAAGCTTTTTCCAGTCCATCCATTCATATTCAGATATGTAGTTCTCGACTTACAACCACAATTGAATCCAAAATTTCTGTTGCTAAGCAAGGCAGTGGTTATATGAGGCCTTTTGCAACCTTTTTGCCCTCGTCATTAAGTTATTAAATCACTGTAATTAAGGGAATCATGCAGTTGCTTAATGAATCTGCTTCCCCCGTTGGCTTTGCTTGTTGGAAGACGGCTGGGAAAGTCGCAAAAGGTGATCATGTGATCCCAGGACCCTGCAGGTCTTGTAAATAAATTCTGGTTGCGGAAAGCCCGGATTTTGATCCTATGACCATGGAGATGCTACAACAGTCATAAGTATGAGGATTGGTTGTAAGTCATTTTTTTCCGTACTGTTCTAACTTCAAACCATCAATAAATGAATGGTTGCAAATCAAGGATTACCCGTAATCTATTTTTATTCAACAATGTGTAGAATCCATCCTGGTTTAACACAATAACCCAATACTAGTTTACCAAATTTGTTTCCCCTTTTTTCTTGTCATAGAATTTAACTTCTCAAATTTTAAGCAGGTGACGTTCAGTATTCATGGATTTGCTGGGATGCTGAAAAAGGGGTTAAAAGTCAGGGCCTCTTTAGAAGACATCTATAACCAGTGACTTGTATGGCTAATAATTTGGGGGTGGGTGGAGGGGCTTCAGTAGGTCTGAAGAAGGCAGATGCTTTGATGCTGTTGTGGCCCCCACAGCTGCCAGCGGAGCTAGCAGCAGAATTAGACAGTGAGGAGGTTGGGGAGGACCATGGGCCAGTCCTGGAAGCTAGGGAAGGCTCGGACAAGGGGTCTGCGTTGGCAGAGGCGGGGACGAGGCCGTCTGGCAGTGATCAGGTACCTACGGAGCTAGACAGCAGTGAGGCAGAGGAACAACTAGATCCTGTTCCCAGTGTGCGCACGTGCAGAGCTGCCAGAAGAAAAGAACAACTCAAAAATCAGGGTCGACTTGGGAGTAAAGCCACAGGTGAAAGGTGATTGGCTCCTCCCATAGGAAACAAAAGAGGAACGAATGGGGAGTGGGCTTTTGCAGGAAACAATTTGTTCAGTTGTTAGATTCATTTCAAGAGAGTGAAGATCTGTCCGTGAATCTCAGAGACTGCCCAGTCTTTCCTTGCACAGCACCTCAATTGAGACATATTGGAAAATATTTACATGGCAGCTTTCCAAGATAGATAAGGTCTGTAGTCCTAAATATTCCTGTGAAGGACTGTTTGCCGGGTCTTTGCTGAATGTGAATGAGAGGAATTCACATTCGTTTAATAAAAGGGGTTTTGTTGGGACCTGGACTCTGCTTCGTGCTTTTTGGGCAAGCCTCTGTCAGAACAGATGCCACACAGGTTGCTCATCCGTTCGTCCGGTTTTCCCCTTCTCCCCAGAAGACGGCTGCCCTCAGAGGCAACTCTGCGGAGGGAACCATGCTGCCACCGAGCGGATGATCCAGTTCGGGCGGGAGCTCCAGATCCTCAGTGAGCAGTTATGCAGAGACTACGGCAAGAACACAACCCACAAAAAAATGTTACAGGTATATATCCTTAATGGGTCCTCTCTTATTTCTCGGTGAACAATATTAAGGTTTTCTGGGCATGATTTGTTTAAAAAGATGAAACCAGGAAGACATTAAAAAACTTTATAGAGTTCTCTCTGAGTTTGGTTGTTTTCTTGCAGACATTTCATTACCCAACTAGATAACATCATCAGCGCTAATCCTTTATGTTCCTTCCTTAGTATGCTCAGCAAGAATTTATGGAGGAAATAAAATTGTCCCAAATGATTCAGAGTTTAGGAAACCATCATAGTCCTTGGCAAAATCATTTTACACCCCCCCTCCCCACTAACAAAATAGAATTGGCCTTTGACACACACCTTCCACCTCTGATAATCATTCCCCCTCTGTATTATTTTCCATCTTTGAAAAAAAAATTTTTTTCACTGGCCAGTAGAGGGAGCTATTGTATTATTATTCCATATTATTGAAAAGGAGAAAATTGCAGCTTATTTAGTTGAGTTACTGTGATCAGAAATGATCCCCCTTCCCCAATTTAAATATAGCCTCCCCCAATTAATAATATTTGAAATAGTACTCAACTGGCTTGGAAAAAAATAAACACTGGCCCTGGCCAGGTTACGAATACAGGTCTCGGCATGCCCTTACTAGCTCTTTGTGGTTCTCTGCTGTATTCTTAGACCACCTCATGCCTTCAAGATAGGGTAGGGCACTGTATCAAAGCGATCTTGAAATCATGGGCGTTGTAGTCTGGAGGGCACCTGCAAAACAGCCACAGGGACCAAGTAGTTTTTGCTGCTCTGCTGAGCTCTCGCATTACTTTTTCAGGATGCATTCAGCTTGTTAGCCTACTCTGACCCTTGGAGCTGTCCAGTCGGTCAGCAGCTGGATCCAATCCAGAGGGAGCCTGTGTGTGCTGCACTCAATAGCGCTATTTTGGGTAAGGAGATGCCGGCAGCCACTTGTAATTCCGCTTTGTGCACCTGTTGCTGTACTGTGATGGCTTAATGTGGCAGGAAATTTGCCACATTTTTGCGGGTTTGGGCAAATTACCTGTGCTGGAGAGGAAGCTTGGGTGCGTGTATATAAGAAAGAGAAGGGAAAAAGGGAGAGGAGAAGAGGGAGGGGGTGGGTTAGAGTTGTTTATTGTTTATTCGTGTCAGAAGCATCACAATTAAAATTTAAAGCATCACATTTAAGCATCACAATTCAAAAAATAAAAAAAATCCATGTATTTTGTAGCCATAACTGTCAAGCTGGTAGAAGTTGTAATATTCACTTGATTGAGAAAAATAGCTCTGAGTGCCCAGCAGGGTCAGATTTCTTTTTAGAAAATAGAAATGACTGAATCCCCATGTTTACTTTTGGAAATGTATCACTTCCCCTGCCTCCTATTAGATCAGGAGATGTCAAACTCACGATGACACATTGTCGTCACGTGATGTATTGCAAATCCCCCTCCCCCCCTTGCTAAACTGGGGGTGGAAGGGCAATGCATAATGCATCCGGCCTGCAGGCCGTGAGTTTTGACACCCATGCACTAGACAAAGATGAGTTGGCGTGCTAGAGAGCACCCTTGCAATCTAACAGTAGTGATGTCATCCTGTAATGTCCCTAATTTGACTGCTAGTAAATGGCTATTGTGTTTGGGCTATTTTGGAAATGTGTCCATCCTTCTGCCAGCCACGTTGCAAGAACGGCTGCAAGAGTGTTCCCCTCTGGGCCTACCAACCCAAAACCTTTTCTGCCCAGTGTAGGAGTGCCAGGGCGTGAGCGAAGGAAGGGAGGGCAGGGGGGCAGAAAGACGTATCTTCTTTGAATGACTTGTCCTGTGTGCATCTCTGGCCTCTTTCTCTCCTCAGAGTCTCAGAACCTGCCAAAGCAGCCCCCCCTGCTGCTCGCCCTGGGCCAGGCCTCGGAGTGCTTGCGACTCATGGCTCGCGTGGGCCTGGGCTCCTGCTCCTTCGCCAGAGTGGACGACTATTTGCACTAGCCACTGAGTGAGGCAGAGTGACCCCTCCAGTTGCTGCCCTTTCACCTCTTCCTGCCTTGCGGTTCCTCACCTGCGCCTGCCCTCCACCCGCTGCCCAGCAGAAGGACACAGTGTTGACTCAGGCGGGAGGGGAGGAGGAGGAGGAGAGGACCCTTGACGCGCCTTCGTTGCTCGCCCTGAAAACTGCTCGCAGGGCCCCCCCTGCCCCCTCACCCCACCCCGCCCTCCCATCACGACCGCATCCTGCTCTGCCCCACAGCACTTGGCCTTCTCACTGGTCCTTCTGATGTAGCGCCTTCTGACTTTAGGATTTTACCCTTTATTTTATTATGTTATTTTATTTCTCTGACTGAGCCACCAGTATTTATACCCGGAGAGTTTGTGCTGAGCTGGTTTCTAATTCTTTTAGAGATAAAAGTGTATCTGAGTTGGTGATGGCCTGTTTTGCTTTTTTTTTTTAACCTTTATTTTTACGTTCGGAGAAACTTAACCGGCACATGTGTTACTTGGACAGTATCGTTCACTGTTGCTGGTGAAAAACCGAGAGGCTGAATGTGCTTGTTGGAATATTAGCCATGCTATCCAAACAAAAAGTTTCATCATCATCATCTTTTTTTTTTCTGTGCCTATGACACACAGCCCTGAGAAACCCTACAGATGCACCCTGGGAACTAATCAGGGGAAAGGCTGAGATTGGGAAGGATAAGACGACCTGTTCCCAACCGTCCCTTTAACGGGATGCCCTGCGATGCTTGGAAAGAGAACTGGTGTGACCTGAGTTGTGTCCCCATCCTCTGTGGAGAAGCAGGAACATCTCTTAACCACAGTCAGACATTAGGGCATCGCCGTGGGAATGTGTGGCTGAGCTGCCACTTCCCAAACTGCTGATTATTGGCCCTGCTGACCTGGGTTGCTGGGAGCTTGACAATCTCTGGAGGAAACCCAGGTTCCCTTCTCCATCAAAGCAAGTGGTCCTAGACTTCTCCTCTGTCACATCTGGTCACCTCTAGGCAACTCACCTCTAGCTCTTAAGACTTTGCCACAAAGAGGAAAGAGAAAGAAGGCTTGCCTGCTTCCTCATCCTGGTACCCAAACAGCTGCCTGGAATGGAATCGAGGTGGAATAGAAAACGGGAGCTCTGCGTTGGTCCAGCATTTTCTTTCTTTTTTTTTTTTTTTAATCTAGAGACTTCTTCCTAAGATCTTCCCTCATAAAGTGGATAGATGTCTCCATGTCAGTTGTGAACCAGGAAAAAAATGAGTCCTCAAAATGACAAGAATTCTCCTCCCTCCTCACACACACCAGGGTTTGAGTTTGTCAAGCCAGCTTTTTATTTCATTGCCTCCATGCCTTTGATAATTACACTGATAGGGCAATAGGACAACAGCCTTGTTTTTATCCTGCTTACCTCCCCACACACAATTGAAAAGAGGGTATAAAGCAATATTATTCTTTTTCAAAAGAAAATGCAGTTTTATTCCAAGGAATATATCTTTTTTTAAAAACAAAAAAATTATATATATATATATATATATATATATATATATA